GGAGAGGCTCTCTCTCAGTATCCTCAGATTGCACGATGGAGACGATGACGTGGACGAGCGGCAAGAGGAGGAGGAGGAGGAGGAGGTTTGTGTGAAGGAATTAGTCAAGAGGCTAAGTGCTAAGGACAAGAGCCATCTTGTGAGTGCAAATATTAAAGCTGCCTTACACAGAACAAATTGATCGCATTGAACCATTTTTTTTATGTAAGAAAGAACCAAGAAAGAAAGTATTGTGAGTGAAGAAAATTTGGGGGGAAGTTTGTAATAGCCAGAACAAGGGTATATATAAGCAAGATTTTCTTGACTAATTATTAAACTTTACAAAGTGGGTGACGTATTTTGGGTGGGTGATGTTGTCACTTTATGTATTTTTTATTTTTTTTGGCAAAATTACAATTTTAGTCCAGTTAGTTTGATCCAGCGGCGTTTTTAATCCTAAAAATTGAACATTTTTGCTATTTGGTCATATGATTTTAAAATTCAATGCAATTTCAGTAATTTGGAACTGAAAATGCAACAAAATTTAAAATTACACGACTTAAATTGCTAATCAAAAAATCATTTAGTTAGCAATTTAAGTCCTGGACTTTTAAGCTTTGTTGCAATTTCAGTCATTTGAGATTGAAATTGCAGCAAAGTGTTAAATTACAGGATCCAAAGACAAAAGATTGAAATTTTGAGCAAAAAAATGCTACACCGTTAAACCTGCATAGTTAAAAATGCAAATTTGCCCCCTTTTTTTTTTCCTTTTTTTTATGCTTTTCTAAATGCAAAGTGAGAATAAAAAGGCGAGGACAAAGGGACAAGGATTGGCAACAAATTTGTGGCACTTTACAGCACAAAATTTGATCATGCAAACAAACCTCCAAAGTGAGAAAACGCTTAAAAAGGTGGCATTTTTACACATCAGGTCTGCCTCACGCTCCAACTTTTAAGAAAATTGAAGCCTTTATGATGGCAGCAAGCCATCACCAAGGATAAAAAAAAGGTGTCCATCTCAAGAATCAAATAGGGAGAAAAAAAGTGTAATCTATGAGCTTATCCGACCATTAAAAAAGTCACTTTAAACGGCAGATTAAAGCAAAGAGAATAGTGCACTAAAGGGAGAAAAGAAGTGCCTGCATTTTTTTTAATTTGACAATTGTAAGAAACGGGGACAAAACGGGTGCAGTCTCCACGGACGGGGAGTGCAACATGACAGACGAAATGAAGTTCAAGTAAGGTTTCATCCCAAAAAAAAACAATTTGTTGATGGGAGAAGCAGTCCACTAGGCTTATTTTCTTATATAAACGATGCGGGACAACTCACAAGTGATATTCTAGCAACAATCTTAAGCTTTATGGTCCGACCGGTTAGTTATGACCGCCTAGAAAAGCACGGGAGACTGCGGCATTCGGCTTATAGGGTGACTTTGATTTGATCCACCCCACCTGAAGAATCTCTTTTCAAGATTTCGAGTATCTCTCAATAGGGTGTTTGAATGTGAAAGTTAAGAGATTTGGAAGTTGGAACTACCTCAAAGCAAGCAAACCCCATGTGGAAATTAGGTAAAAGCTAATAACAGAACATGGGCATTTGTCCACCTAGAAATATAAATAATCCAACCATATCAAGCCACGTGATTCTTCAACATGGAATCATCTCAGATTTACACATCACATTCCATGTGAAAACATCATCCTCCCCACCTTATCCGCACCAAAAGGTTGCAAAAAAAGCACATATACACAGACATCGAATTAGGGCAACTGCATATCATCATCAAAACCGAGCATACTTATAACCGAAATGTGCCGCAACCTCAATTCATATTCAACGACATTGGCCAAAATGAACAAGATAGTAATGAAGGGACGCCAATTAATCCAGAGACGGCCGTAACGGCATGGTAATTTACAGAAACCTTGACAATGTACGAGGTTATAACAACAATATCAAGAAAAGTCGATATTCAGTGGAGTTTTAATTTTTTTTTTGACAACACGGGAAAAATTGTACAACTTAACCAACCGTTAAAGCAAGGTTACAAGCTTTTTACAGTTCAATGTAGAACAATGGTGTTACTCATGAGCAAGTGATTGCTGCTTATCTTCTTCCATCTTCTGTTTTATCCTGTACTGCAACGTAACAGGAGCACAGTCTAGTGGTGTTTCGCCTGAATAAGAACAGAAAAGGCAAAGACAATCAGTATTGTCACTTAGTCTTGCATTTTGTATTTTTAGGAGTAACGACGACACTTAGGGAAATCAAATTAGTGGGATTTCTAATATAACCTAATACGAACAGTAACAAAACCAATATGTATTCTTTTCCACATAAATCATGTCAGTGCAGTAGAGGTGACCGGAAAGTAGTAATACACCATTGCCCTCTCTTTTCATCTTGACAAATTATTCTTGTTCTAAATACTTGCCCCAAAAGTCCAATTTGAAACAGCATGTCTCGAAATCATTTACCTTGTGAATTCTTGCAGTCAAGACGTGCTCCATGGTCTATGAGGGCAAATGCTATCTCAGTATGATTGAAAACTGATGCCTGTAAATTATGCAAGTCAAGTTAGAGGTACATTAAAAGCACTTGATTTGTTGTTTAATAGAAAACACAAAGAGTTGACAATGTACCAAATGTAATAGAGACGAGCCTTGCTTGTCACGATAATTTGCATCAACTCCCTAGAACATTTAAATTAGAAAAAGAGAAGATTTTTATAATTCAGCAATTAGGGAGGTTATAAGAAAAAAATAATAATACCTGACTCAAAAGCTTCTTAGCAGCAGGAGCATCACCATTTTTTATTGCTTCTCTTAAACCCTAAGGGTTGAGCAAAATATATCAAATTCTTAATACGTAAGGGAAAAAGTTAATCATGGTTCACTTATCCAGTAGAGACCAACAAGCCAAGTTTACCTCTCCAGTGACCTCATAACTTATTAAAGATGTATCCGCAGAACTGTTGCCAACTTGACCAGGATTGAAAAGAGTGCTGCAGAATTTTCACATCACTTCAACAATGCAACGTACAGACAATGTATAATATATGCATAAAAAGAACTTTCAATAATTGCTTAGTCAAATTTATCGAAAAGGGAGCGGTAAGCCCCACATTAGTAATTCTACGATTACGTAATTCTATTAGATCAATGCCATTGTCTGAACCTTTTCCTACTTTACAAATACAATATCATAATGCAACATGCATAACATGAGTCTGGAAGTTCTCCACATAGCTTATGAACATGAACTCTAATCATAAGTTAACAAAATGCATTGGTGAAATACATGAGAACTGTAATGGAAATACATTATTTCATTATCTGGTATATTTATTTCCCAGGTACCTCTTAGAAGCATCTAATTATGCTAATACTTCATCTTGGTTTATCTAACACCTCACAGCATGCAGACATGTAAGGAGGGATCTTTAAGAACCAAGAATTTAAAGAGTGCTGCAGATAAATATCTCTGCTGCCTACCTTTGCCGACAGTTTGACGATGAACCTCTACTTCTAGGAGTTGGTTCTGTCTTCTTTTGTTTTGGGATTGAGTTAAGTGGGGGACTTGAGGTAGTGGTTACTAGCTACAACAAAACAAAACAGAACATGTCAGGACTAATGAAGTTCACTGAGGAGTGAGGACAAACCAGTACATATACAACTTCCCTTGCCTGTGGTTGAGGACAAACATTTGGAGGCTCAGGTGCTTGACAAATGCACAAAGGCATCCCACACTTGCACTCAAAAATGACTGGAAAAGAAGATTTTGCAGTGCCAGCTTCCAGTTTGGTATCTGAAACAGTACTGATATCCAGCCTCGAAATTGAATTTCCAACAGCATTAATTTCATTTGGAGTAGCTGGCACACTATCCTTCCTTGATCTAAATTAACAATTTTACAGAACCAGCATTAAGGACTCAATGAAAAATACATGCATTATAAAAGATAAGAACAAAAACACTTGAGCTCACAGGCCTATGACATGTGATGGGATACCAAGTATAATATACTGGAGAAAAAGATGATAGTGAATTTATTGAATGATAACTTGGGGTAGTCACAAGGGCCCCCGAAAGAATTTGTCTGCCCAAGGCAGAAAAGGCTGAATACATAGGAACTTGGGATAGCCTTAATGTTCATACCAATCCCTTTATTTATGTAACAGTAGTCTCTAAATCTATACCCTTAAATTAGATACTAAAATGCCAGGATCTTAACAATTACTTATACAGACATGGTAAAACCTCATAGCCAATTACTATGGTAAGATCCACTCAAACATTTGTTCTCACCCAAAGTCAGCATTATGTATTCCTCATTGGCTCTAGTAGCATACTACAACAATAAAGTTAGCTAGCGTAGAGAGTCCATATATTACGAGTAATAATGATGTTATAACTTATACAGGGTTCAAACTCCATATCTCTAAATTTCTTAAGTATTTAGACTTCCCTCCCCCCCAAGCCCCCTGCATAATATGAAAAATGAGAAATAAGCAAAGGTGTCGTTTACTGGGAAAAAGACAAAAAACAATTGGTCAATGATAATACTACCAAGCAGAAATATTCTAATTCTAAACAAATAAAGAAATCCAAATAACCATTTTCATGATGATGCCCTGCAGAATACAAAGCCTGTCTTCCACAAAAAACAAGTTTCCAGAGTGAAGCAGCAAGACACAGCCAACGAGATAATGCAGATATATAAATGAATTGAAAAAGAAAATCTAACGCAAAAGAAATATACGTTACAATATAACAAAGTCAGTTGATAGGACTCAAAGATCCATACCCACATACAAATGAACATTACCTAGAGCCATCATTAAAGCAATCAGCACAAACACGAACATTTGTGTGAATACCAAACTGCGGCAAGGCCTGGAAAAAGGTAGAGAAGCTTAAAATGCCATACACGATTAGGGCCTTAGGCATATCCAGATGTGTAGTGTAGTGTGCATACCATTTGATCCAATGAATGCTCAGCACATAAAGTCCGGCCACAGCACCGGCAGTGATGCTGCAAACATAAAATTTGTTATAAGGCAATATAAAGACCATAGAATAGTTCCACTCGTGCGGACTGCTGAGTCAAATTGCAGTTGAGTAGATTCCTAAAGATATAAATTTTGAAGACATATTCACATGAAATCATTTTGAAGCATATAAAGAACTCCTGAAGCTTTGCATCTGACAGGTTTGCCGGAGTTCACAGTGTAAGTAAGAAGAATTATACTTTGTCTGTCCCATAATCAGACATCATGAAATGCGAAATTTTAAGACAGCACACACACTTTTTGACTTACAGCATCACAAACAAGTTCCAAAAGTCTGGAAGAGGGACAAGAGCTCCTGTTCCAATAATTTCTTATGACGAACGAAATTTAAGATTTTAAGAGAAAGGCAGCCTAGATAATAAATGAAACAGACTCCAGTAACTAACAGGTAGAGGTAACTGTATGCTTGTCAGTCTAATCAAAACAGTATATGCAGTCAATTACCACTGATTGAAATCAAATTGACATGCATTTAGGAAACGACACCCACAGTTCGCTGGCTAATATGCTAAAAAAAAGCAGGGTACATCATGATACAGGGAAAGTTACACATTATAACAACACTTCTACAAGCTCTTATAGCATATACAATTTCAGTTTTGATTCCAAGTTCAGTGTCTCTCAGGTCACATAACATTTTAAATTTCTTGTCAAGTTCGAGGTACTTGAAAAAAGAATTGATGAATCTAGTTGAATTTGCCGCAATGTAATTAAAGTTCATACATCCTCCACCAGTTCCCCCATACACAAGTAGATATGTTTATTTCTCCACACTTCAGTTTACATTGCCTATTGAACTGTCAATTTGGTTAGTTTTCTCCATTTAAATCATTTTGGATTTTAAATCATCAACTATTTCAGCAGAAAATAGAAAGTTAATTTAAGTATTCTACTAGTGTCCATATATTTCATTACAACTTTTCAAGTTTCTAAAAAACATAGAAAAAGTTAACCAGATTTACAAATCAAAATCTGTTATATACTCCTTCCACGGGCCAGGACATGTTAAGTACTAGAAGCCTGCCTACTGCGGATGGGTAAGTCTATAGGGTCAATGTAAATCCTACTAATACCAACTGGGACGCTTAAACGTGGCAAAAGGGGTATAGGCACCAGAACTGGAGAAATGTTTGTCATTATCCATTAAAATCATTTGATAAGCTGTAAATATATCAACCCAGCATTCATACATTTACATGAAGTTAAAAATTTAGCAGACAACCAAATAGCCAAAAA